GACGAGTTCAAGTTAACTCAAGTCCCAACTATGATAATCATTTTGTAATGTGTAACCTTCCCATCCAGGAATATGTAGCCATCTATAAGAAGAGCTACTTTTCTTATCCGAGTACCACAGTCACCAGACTCTTGATTGTAATGATCATCTGGAGTCTATGTGGCATAAATATCTACCTAAAATAAAACATGGAGAGATTATTTAACTCAAGGCTACATAAATGTAACCAAATAATTGATTCTGCATCAGTTAACTCACACTAAGAAATTAGAATTATATAAAGCAGAAAAATTCATTGAATATAACTTTAGTCAACAACTAATAATTAGTATACAGTGTGGCTCTAATATTTATTTCTGATTTTCTTTTTATGAAAAGAATTTGTGAAAACCTTTAACCCTATGTTCTCAGAAAATGTCTGTTCTGATTTTCTCTTCTTCCTGAGCTGAATGTTTTGCTATTTGCTCTTCCTCTGTGTGCCATACAGTTCTTGTCACGCCACGTGTTCTGATATGTCACCCCTTGTTTAGGATCTTATTTATGATTTGGAGAAATATTCTTGGTCTCGACATCAGTCAGTGTAAAAAATTCACTTTGAGTGCAGATTGTGTAGCACTTATAATGTAAATGAGGTCTTGTTTTTCTTGAACATGCTCTACAACATGTTTGGGGATGACCTCTACCTTTCTGAGAACTTGTAGCTTGGTGTCTCTGCCTGACTCCTTATGTTCTGGGGCTAGCCCCTCTGTGTTGTGTCTCTGTATGCCCTGTCCTGCCCATCCTATGGCAATGAAGTCACAGGGGAAAGGGTCATATTCTGGTTCTTTATACAGGAAGACTGATTTTTTCTGTCCATCTCAACCTTGTCTCTATAAGCCAGCTCAGCACATCCACATAGCTGTCAGTCTGTTAAGGTGAGCTGTGACTACCCATCTGTCATTTGACTTGTTCCCCGCCAACTCTACTTTGATACTTACCAGTCCTCTGGCTCTGGGGTAGTTCTTTCCTTTGGCATCTTAAACCAGCCTATGGACCTTTGAATTAGACCTAAATTCTGTAACCCAACTTCCCATGAAGGGCCTTAACTTGGATCGAAGGTGGGATCCTCCAACTCTTGGGCTCCTGGAGGATATGTGATTTCCCCTAAGCAAGTCCTTGGGGCCAAAAGTAAGGTCTTGGCCCATTGAAGGGTCCCCTACCATGTTCTCATTGTCCCCAAGGGAGAGATTTGGATACTCTCAGATTAGGATCTAAGCTGATGATTGATACTTCACTAGGCAGAACCAGGGTCCTATAACACTTCCAATTTAACATTATTAAAAATCTGGCTGCAATGGCTGACTTTTTCATCATTTTATTCTTCGATATATGTTTAAAAAAAGATGAACAGAGTAGTTGGAAAAAAGAAACTGGTAATCTCTGAAGAATCTAATTTTAAAACAAATTTTCTATCCCCTGTCAAGCTTCTAGCATTCAAAAAAAAAAAAAAAGCGAAATGTACAACTTAGATAATATCTGGCTAACTCTGTTCTGCACAGCCTACTTCTTTATTGAAACCTCCTAAGAGACTCACTGAAATATCTGTTAATGAAAAGCTGGACAATAAGAAAGAAGTAATAAGACATTTTATCTCTTTGGCAGTCTTCTAACAAAAAAATGAGAGGAAAGTAAGTTCATTTTAATTGATGACAGAAACATGGATTTCATCAAGTTGAAAAGGCAAACACTGCTAGGGGCAAACAGCATTCCTGGTAAGAAGTGTTGAGCATCGTTCCACTGGAACATGAATTAGGTTTATTGCAATGGTCTGTTTTCATATTTAGTTTTCCTAGAGTTAGCATCATTTCTTATTTATAGTGGCATATTTCTAATGATGAGCACAATGCCTGACACAGAGTTGGTGCTCAATAAATTATTCTTGAATGGATAAATAAAATATGATGCATTATCCCTTCCTGCAGGAATTTATTATCTAGTTGGGAAGGGAAGACACAAACACATACAAAAAATAAATGATGATTCCTATCATTTTATTCATTGTTAATTACCCACTGACTGTTATCATCTTATTATTCATTATTAATTTTGTGATATTTGTGATAAGTCCTAAAGGTGGCCAAAAATGTTCTTTCTACATTGGCCTGTGTCCAGCCTCAAGCTTCCAATGCTCCAGCCTCAAGCTTGCCTCCCAATTTATCACTCACTGGTCACTCTACCTTGAGTGCTCATCTTCTTCAATAGCTGATTAATCCCTATTCACCCTTCAAGTCCCAGTAGAAATATTATTTCTTTCTGGACGTCCTCTATGATTGCCTGGGCTAGGTTATCTGATCCTGCTATATGTTCCAGAGCAACATTCAGAACGACATTTGTGATCACTCTTCCTGGATGTCTTCCCTGACAAACATGAGCCCCGTGAAGGCAGGGACAGCCTCTGTCTTTTTCATCTCTTCCCCAAGGCTTAACATAGCAGATGTTCAATAAATGCTGCTGTAATGAACAACATCTTCTTATTGCAAGCACCTTGAGATAGGTAAGGGGCTCTAGAGCATGGAACTGGTTCTCGAACTGATGAGGAGGCAGAGGTCTGGAGTAGGGAATGTGCTTAAAGTGTGTGGTTCATGGACCAGGGGCACTGGCATCACCTGGAGCTTGTTAAAAAGGTGCTTTCTCAGACTCCACCCCAGCCCTGAGTGATTTGTGTGCATGGTCAAGTTTGAGAAGTACTGCTTTTCATCTGGCCACACAAAGCAAAAGACAGACCTTGGGAATTATCCCATCTAAGAGACTGAGGGCCCTGAATAGGCCTGGATGATTGCCTGTATGTGGGGATGAGAGGTGGCCTCAGGCACTATCTAAAGTCTCCTGTTTCACCTACATGACCAAAGCCTGAGTTCTAATTCAATCCATGTTTTACCTCATCCAGCAAAAGGCAATTGATTACTTTTGTCTGAGAAAAACACTGTTTGCCAGTGAGTTTTCTCCAGTCACATGGAAATGTGGTTCCTCTCTTGGCCTCATTGCCAGTTGGTCATAGAGAAGGGATAGTCAGTCTGCCTTGGACTCAAAATCTCAGATGCCCAGGCCTCTGGCTGACTTTGCACTGCTGGAACCAAGCAAAAGAGATCCCAAGCAAATCCCACAAGGATCCTACCTCAATCCGTTTTGTACTGCTGTAATGGAATACCCGAGACTGGGTAATTTATAATGAACAGAAATGTATTGTTTCATGGTTCTGAAGGCTGGGAAGTCCAAGATTGAGGGGCTAGCATCCAAAGAGGGCCCTCTTACCTGCATCATCCCGTGGTGGAAGAGCAATGAGGGGTGAGAGAGAACAGATCAAACTTGCAGCCTCGAGCCCTTTTTATAGCAGCAGTAATCCATTCACAAAGGTGGCCCTCATGACCTAAACACCTCTTAAAGGTCCTACCTCTCAACATTGTTGCATTGGGGATTAAGTTTCCAACACATGAACTTTGAGGGACACATTCAAATCATAGCAGATCCTCTCCATGCATCCCACCCCACCTGACACGTGAGTCACTTGCAGGCTAGGTGAAGGGACAGAGTGTACATAGCTAAGAAGCCAGCAACTTCAGGGCACTGTAGACAGAGGTAGACCAGGTAGGACGTGGCAAGGAGGCTGTCTGTAAGGTGAGGCAGCTTCACTCCCTGCAGTGGGGATATGGGGTGGGGCTCAGGGTTCAGGCACAGGGTCTGACTGTTTTATACCAAAGCAGGAGAGACGGAAGTTTCTAGAATCTAAGTCAGAACTGGACCAAGACTTTTCCTGCCACCAGTGACTTCTCAGTCACAGAAATGCCCAAACCCTCTTCTAGTCTGAGGGCAGCAGAAGTTCAAGACTCCTTGGTAGCAGGGGGATAAAGGGAAAGGGGTGGGATGAGGTGGATGGAGGTTTGCTTCAGGTTCTTACCAATTCACCAGACCTGGAGTCAGCTCCTACCAGGCCCACAGCTCCCCTAGGCTGAACAGAAGCACTTCACCCAATTATTTCTTGTGCTTCTTCCCCCTTTTAGTTCTCAGAGGTGGATTTCCTACTGTTCTGAAGAAACAAACCTGTTTTACCCAGAACTACTTCAGTTTAAACACCTATCATTTCCCTGAATCATCCCTATGTTTGGTTAAGCCAGGGTCCCCAGACCCACATCCCAGGGTCAGTAAATAACTCTACTTGCTGACGCAGGGGGACTCTGAATCCCACCCTGCCCATCCAAGGCCACTCCCTTGCTGCCACCAGCCTCCTGAGTTTCAACCTCAACAGCTTCCACCGCTGACACACTGGGTGGCTGGCTCCATGTGCAGTTGGCTGTTTCGATCACTTGCAAAAGTGGGGAAACTTAAGAGCATCTTTAGATGCTGCGTTAGCAATCCTAGAGAGGTGGCTTCCCGACTTAATTACGCAGAGGGAATGGGGAATGAAGTGGCTATCTGGGAGGAGGCGGAGGTAGGCTGGGAATCTCACCCAAGAATGTGCCAAGAAATGGCAGTAGTGTGTGGTGGATCAAAGTGGGTCTCGGAATCTTCCTGGCTTTTTTTTTTCTTTTTTCCTTTTCGACTTTTTATCTTACCTTGGCCACTCACTACTTTGTCTCTCACTTTCCTCATCTGTAAAATGGGTTGCGAGGTTGAACAGGTATCCTGCGTAAAGCGCTTAGCACAGTGCCTGGTATCTTGAAAGTGCTCCATGAACGCTTGTTGTTATTTGCTCCACACCGAGGAGTAATTGGGGCGCTGGAGGAAGACACCCCCAATCTGCCATCCCCCAGCTCCCAAGCTCAATAGAGCGCTAGGGAGGCTGATGGGAAAATACCGTGCAGAAGGCCCAGGGCTGATGGCCCCGGGGCGGGACTCTTTGAGGCCCCAGTGACCTCTCGGCTCAGGCGCCCGCCCTTCCCAGGCCTGCGGGAGGGGGCCAAGCTGCCGGCGGGGGCGGTGGCCGGGCGCTCCAAACGGCCTGCGCGTCGCGGGCGGGCGGGGCTGCGCGTCCCGGCGCCTGGGGCCCGTCATATAGCTGCTGGCCGAGGCGCTAGTGCGCTGGGGCAGCGCGCGGCTGGCGGGAGGGCAAGCAGGCAGGCGGGCGGGGCCGAGGCCCAGAGACCGGAGCGGCAGGCACCGGGGCGACCTGGAGCGGGGCGAGCACCATGAGCAGCAAATGCGACGTGGTCGTGGTGGGGGGCGGCATCTCAGGTCAGTCGCGGCTGCGCGCCCTCCTTCCTCTTCGCGCACTCGGACAGGTGGTCGCCTGGGGGAGGCGCGCGGGGCGGCAGTGGGGCGCGGGCTGACCCTGGAGCCCCGCGACTCTATGTGCACGGGAGGGGCTCTAGTGCGTCCTGAGAGCTGCGCACCGAACCTTTCCTCGGTTGAAGGATTTGGTGCGTCCGGGGCAGAAGCCAGGGGCTGGAAGGAAGCCTGTTGGTCTGCGGCCAGACTTTGACCTTCTCCCTGGGAACGCAGGCCTTTCCTTGCTGCAATTTTCGAAGCCAGGAGAAAGGGGGTGGGGAGAGAGGAGACGCCTCCTGGGTGGGGGTGGGGGGCGGCGGGTTGGCGCAAAGGTCAGTCATTGCTGCAGCTTGATGTGGACACTGGGCACCCTCGCTTGGAGCAGGCACGGACCACGACGTAATATTATCCAGGCTTCGGGAAAATGACCTTGAACAGAAGGAAGAGGTTGGGCCCTGGCCAATCGATTGTCAAAGACCTTCCAGACCCCCCTGAATCTCTGCAGTTCCATGATTGTCAGGGGTCTATCTACCTGAGGCTGCAGGGCCATCTTGGCAAATGCCTCTTCTCCCCCTCTCCCTCCCCACCCCGCTACCCCAAACACAGGGTGGCCAAGCTGCAACTTGGCTCTCTGGCCCAGCCCATATTTGGCAAGGATAGGAACAGAGATACCCCCTTAGCCACAGGGCGGCTGTGTACGCAGCAGGGGCGACAAAAAAACAGAAGCCAGAAGAAGGAATGGGGTTAGTGGGGGAGGGGGAGGCTGATCATATAGGGGTAGGGTCTGTGGGAATGAGCAATCTCCCAGCACAGGCTGTTTAACAGACCCCAGGGATATGTTGGCCCAACTCTCAGCGCCTCCTGGTGCTCAAGCAGTAATTAGGACACCTCCAGACCCCTGTGAATGTGTTGTCTAAGACTTGCCCTAACCAGTTCTTAGGTAGCCTTCAGGGGCAGGGGTGGCCTTGCTTCCTGTGAGGAGGGCAAGGCAGAGGTGTTGGAACTCTCCTGTGGCTGGAGAGGAAACACAGGCCTTAGAGGTTGGGTGCTGACCCTGGTCCTGTGCTGCTGCCCCCGCTGTACCTTTGGGTCAGATCTCAGCCTACCCCATCTGTCCAGCCTGCCCTGGTGAGTTCACCCGTGCCAGGCCCTGTGCCCAGCGCTGCAGGTACATAGATGCATAACCACAGCATGCTGAGGTTGGCCAAAGCTGTGTATAGATTCAGTTTTCTTTCAGTATTTTTGACATCTTCTCTCCTAGAGGAACTTATTCTTAAAAGCATACCTACTTAGGTGTTTTAGAAAATATTACTAAATGCCTCTTGGTGCTGCCTTGCACAGCACCCGATCGTACAGAAGCTGAAGGTTCTCTTTTCAGGCCCCTAGAATCCTTTTCTTACCCCAGTATGCCTAATGGGTTCAAGTTCTTCTCTTTTTCCCCTATTGTTTTGTTCTTTTTAATTCATTCTCCAAACCTTTAAGTTCACTCAGATTATTCATATTAGACTCATACGGGTAAGGTAGATAAGGGTTTGGCTGTTTTTACAAGCAGTGGTGAACCTCTACATTGCCCCCCTACTCTGATCAAAACAAGGGATTGATGAGAGATCTGCCTTTTCTTAAGAACACTCCATGGAATAGGCATTGTTCTAAGAACCAAGAAAACAGGGTTCCAAGGCCCAACCTTACTCGATTGTTTTATCTGCTACATGGGGACAACACCAATTAGTTATAGCTAGATTACAGGGCTGTTGTGAAGGGCAGGTGAATCAATGTTTTTGAAATAGCTTTGCAAAGTCTGAAATATAGCACAAGGCTCCACAAGAGTTTTACTCGTTTATTCAAACTATAGGCATTAGGGGAGGCTATGATAGGGGATTCAAAAATGGATCACGTTGTTCTTGCCCTGGAAGACTTGTCAATCCAAGAAGAGAGATGGGATACCCAAACAAAGACAATAGAAGACGGTGCATACCACAGGAGGAGTCCATTCATTCATTCATTATTCATTCATTCAATGAACATTTACTTCCTGTCCTAAAGGGAATAAAAGATGACTTATGCAGGTCCATTGACCCATGGACCCTCACCAGGTGATGTGGGAGACAGAGTGATGAACAATTAATACTGTTTGACCTATGATAGATGCAGTACCTGTAAAAAGTTCTAGGGAAGGTGATTGGAGAGAATGTCAAACTCTGAGAAATCTGGGAAGACTTAGTAGAGGACGTGACATTTGAACTGAGTCTTAAAGGATGAATATGAATTCTCCAGGAGACTAGATGAAAAAAGCATTTTAAGCTAAAGAACAGCTAATATAAAACCACGAATATGTGAAAGAACATGATAATATGTTTAGGAAACCTTAAGAACTTCAGTCTGGAGAACTAGGTGGGGGAAGACTGGAGGGAGACAAAGGTAAAAAAGTCAGTCAAGATGAATTGTGGGGAGCCTTGTATATCATCCCCAAAAGATTTAGCTTCTTCCGTGGTCAATAAACAGCACTGATGACTTTTGGTTCACAGAGTGCCGTGTGTCAACAGACTGGGGATACGGTGATGATATTAGCAAAAAGAGTGACGTGAAGAAGACAGAGAACAGGTTTTGGGAAAAGATAGGACATCTAGAATTGGAAGCGCTGGGAGGACCCAGGGAGAGAAATCTAGCAGTTGGAAATGTGGGATAGAATTTGAGATTACAGATGTGTATGACAGAAGTTTTAGTTGAAGCCATTGAAATAGATGAAATGGCCAAAACTAAGAGTGTAAAATGTAGAATTTTAGAATTAGTAGGTGACTGGCACAATAATTTTTGTTTAAAAGTCTCTGAATTCGACTCTGATTTTTAAACTTTGTTAATTATTAAACTTGGAGTATTCTGGTAATTCCCTGATAATTTTTAGAGCTGTCAGCAAATTTTAATCACTCCCTTTGGGATAAATAGGGATGTATTGAGAGTACAGCTAGTTAATATATAACTTTCTTTTTTGATGTTTGAAAATTTCCAAGGCAATTGTAGATTTGCTTTGTAGAAGTGTGTACAGTATATAAATGAATACCTACTGAAATCTCTTTTACCCACAGGGCTGGTCATGTCTGGAGACTTGGCATAGCAATGATGTCTCCCACACGGAGCTGGACAGCACCATGTTGCTTCTGTCCTGAGTCTCAGCTTTAGTATTTGGATTGGGGGTGGAACCACAGGAACTACCTTTGCAATTCTAGAATGGCTCTTGCTCAGTCCCCAGAATAAAAGCTAAAAAAGGCAACTCAAAGCAGAAACAAGAAAGTTTTGGCCAGGCTTGGGAGAGGAGGTTTGGTCATCTGAGGGTGGCAGGCACTTGTTTGAGATCCCTAGAAGAGTGGAAACTGGAATTGACAATTGTAACTAACACCTGGCAGGTGATCTGTGTGGCCAGGAGAGCGAGACTTGCTGTAGACTGGCAGTACTGGTCTGGGCAGGGAGTGTCACAGACAGCTCACGAGGGGTCATGAGTTGAGGGATGTGGTGGGCAGATGTGGCAAAGCCTCCCCCTCACCTTTGGTAAAGAAAAATGGAGAACTTCCCTGGGCTTCTCTAACCCATTTGAATGTATAGATGTGCTGGGAAATTTGTACATCCCAGTCAAGGACAGAATATAGACAGGCAATATAGCAATGCTAAAAAACAGCATAGGCTTCAGTGTCAGACTGGTTGGGAATCCCCTTTCTGACACTTACCTATTGTATAACCTTAAAAGTTACCTAAATTTCCTGTTCTTCAGCTGCCTTATCTTTAAAATGAAACTCATAATACCTTCCTGGCAGGCCTGTTTACAGGATTAAAAAGAATGCACATTAAGGACCATAAACGGTGATCATTATGGCTTTACCTTGCTTTACTTTGCTCTACCTTTTGGAAAATATATCCTTGTCGGAGCATTTTTCAATCTATGGGAGCAAGAAAGAGGCATTTCTGTGTTTTCATGTCTTCCTTTTCACCAAGCAATTTTTTCTGGATATGAGGCATATATAAGGTGGCAAGAGGATGCGGGGTGCATGTGTAGGGGTCAGTAAGGACCTGCTTTTTGGTTCCAGCCTCATTCTGATCCGGCCCATCCCTTTATCCACCCCCATGCAATGGGCCTGAGGAACTCAGGCTCATCTCGGGCTCGGGAACCACTGGGTTCCTCATGAGAAGAAATTCTGGAAGCCCTAGATCTATACTTCAGCCTCACCCCAGCCTGGCTGTTACTCCGATTCTGACCTGGTCCTCATTTTAGCCACCTGAATCCTGTCTTAATTAAAATAGAAAACAAATGCATTAATATAATAATAAATGATATTATTTATTTAATAATATTTAATAGTAAATAATCAAAAGAGGTAGCGTATCAAGCTATCAGGCGCTGTCTACATGCTGGGCAAGGTGTCAGGAGGTTGATTAGAATGACAGCAGCTCTGTGAAGGTAAAGCATGACAAAGCCTTGTTTCTTCTGCTCAATTCTAACACCTGGGGCACATTGGAGGAAGGAGTCAGTTGGTGGGCTATGGGGGCTGAGCCAGGTGCCACTAGAGCCACAATTTCTAGGTCCTTGTATGTCCTCAGAAGTCACCAGGGCAGGTATAAGGCTTGGCTTGGCCATTGATAATGGCCACAGTTTCCTTCTCCTGTGGCTGAGTGTTGAGGTCCAGGCTCCCTGCTGTACACACAGGGACAGTGGTAGAGCAGAGGGGTTAAGAGGATGGTGTCTACCCTATTCCACCACTAACTAGCTGTGACACTTTAGGCAAACAGTTAACATTCCCATACCTTAGTTTCCTCATCTGGAAAATGGGTATCATGATGGTATCTATTTCATAAAGTGGCTGAGAGGATTAAGAGAAAATACATGTAAAGAGCTTGGAATGGGGCTTGGCATGTGGCAAACACGCAATAGGTGTTGGCTATTGTTTTCAATCAGCCTGACAAAATGGACACTAGCCACT